GAAGGTTACGAACAAAGATTACTTCGCGAGAGGCCGAAATATATTCCAATGAAGGATGAAGACGTTGCAAAGTTATCCCCAGAAGATAGACAAGAATATGAAAACTCTTTAAAAATAACAAAAACGCCTAGACGTTACGCTCTTAGAAGTAGACCGTACTAAATTTTGTAAAACGTTTTGAAGAAATAAATGTATTTAAAAACTGAAATATTGTGTAAACATTTACCTGCAAAGCCCGCTCTTTCCGCCTGCGCGAAAAGATCCGTGTACGAATATGTTGTACATTAATATATGCATGTACCCGCAAAGCCACGCGCCTGATTTTAAGGTATACACCTGCGTTAAAAATAATCCCTAGCTATCCATCGGGATACACTTAGTTATGCAAATTCGTATTGCCTTAATCCCCTTAATTACCTACACGCCTCCTAATGACTTAGCAACACATAACAACGCAGCATTTGCAAAGTTTAAAACATGTTTATTGATACAAATAACAGACGATAGTGTAAAAAAATATTACAACTGTTCTAATTCTAACTTCTACTCTTGATAAGCTTTCTTATGATCATCTTAACAGTATATATGTATGTAGGAGGATTGCTAAATAATCTTGAACAACATGCAAATATTGACCATAACAACGACGTTGACAACTCGGGATTAGGAACTGTTTAGTTTAAAATATGTCTTGATTTTTGTGACGAATAGATTCCTCGCTATGGAACATACAAAAAATCCTTCAATATACATGTGGAAATTTATCTCTTCCGAGCAAAGATACGGCTATAACTCTGCTATATATTAATTTCGATAACAATTTTGCCATGCGAGGGACACAAACTATTCAACACACGTGTGGGACGCTAAAAAATGCGTAGTCAGCAAGTTTCGCCCGATCGTGTTTAAGCTCGTCCGCATGACGTCATTACTTGCCTGATCCTACCCGCGTGACGTCATTGCATGTAATTATGACGTATGCTAATGATGATGCGCCGCCCCGCGCCGCCCCAAAAATCCGGATCGAACGGTACCTATCAGAGGTTGGACAGCAGGCCGCAAAGCATCATGGGTATTGAGCGCCTAATTCAGTGTGACCAGATGTGGTAATTTCATTACTACCGTGGTAATTTTTCGTTATTTTTGGAGGATTGTGGTAATTGGAAATTTGTGGTAATTACTACGGTAATTTCAGAACTACCGTGGTAATTTTTCGTCAATTTTGGCCGATCGTGGTAATTTGGAATTTCCAGACCGTAATTGTACAGATTTTGGTGGAAAAACTTTGACAGATTTTGGTGAAAAAAACTTAGGCCATGTTTAGTCCGGAAAAAATTTTTCGAACCCTAATTTAAGAGGTGGTTCTCCGGAAAAATTTTGGTGTCCAAAAAAATTTTTGCCCCCCCCCCCTCCCCAACATTTTTGGGAAAATGGGAAAAATATGGCACCATGGTAATTTTGGACCGAATGTAGTAATTTATGAAACCGGATGTGGTAATTTCCCCGGAAAAAACCTGGTCACACTGGCCTAATAGGCAATTCCAGCTTTTAATTTATGCGTGCAGGGGACGATGGGAAGTAAGGTATCACATTGCTGATTATGCTGAAAAAATAAAAATAGTGGCCATGTAAACACGGAGTCATACCTTGTACTTGTAAATATTGAAATATTTCGGTTGTTTCGGTAGTTTTTATTGAAATTTTTCAGCATAATCAGCAATATGATACCTTACTTCCCATCATCCCCTGCAGGCATAAGCTAAAAGCTGGAATTGCCAATTCCGCGCGTGACTTCATTGACTGTTGAGGAGTGAACATCACTCTGACTAAACCAATATGGAAGCTTTCGAACGACAAGAGTGTCAGGCTGCGATACTTTGTGAAAAGAAACAGCATGTTATTGCTGTATTGTTGCGATCATCATTATGACTTGTGTTTTACTATACTAAGTTTACCTTTTTTAAATAGCATGGGACATGTTGTCATTTTAGCTTTATAAATAATGCGTCTGAGCGAAGGAATTGTGTTTATATTCCCAATAGCGAGGCTCTTCTTTCTATAAATTTGGATGACGTTAAATCTCCGTGTATCATCAACGTGAAAACAAGCGCAATATTTAAGGTTGGTATACTACAATGCATTACAGTTATCTTGTTATTTAATCAAATTATTATCCGCTTTGTTGTTTTTAACCTTGTACTGTAATTTTATAAATACACTGTACAAAATTATGGCGTAATATTTGTGTTTAATGCCTCTAGTTTGACCCTATTGTGTGTGTCTATGTACTGTGTCACTGTGATACATATGTACATGCTTTGAGTTAAACAAATTGTTTAATAAATTTTTGCTAAAGTATGATGCCTGTTTGTATCTAGTTGTGGATAGATTTTCACATGTATGTGCATCAGTGCATACAATAGTTAGATATTTTTCAATTTTCATTTGTAAAATATTGCCATATTTGTGTGTTGTTCTATAAATATTACTGTTAATAGTGACACACTTTTGCATTAGATTGCTAATTTTAGAGATTACAGTTTATGTACAAAATAATAAAATAAAAATGTTCTTGTTATGATTTTGTAGAAACTAAGAGATCTACTTGAGTGGTTGGCTGGTCTTGAACCTGGTCAGCATGGATATGGTAATGAAGGTGATAGGGCAGAAATTGGTGACCAGTTAAGTGATGAGGATGAAAGTGACGAGGATGAAATCACCCATGCTGTACCATTCAAGTACATCGATGCTGCTCATGAGAAAAATTACCAACATCATTTGGAACAGGCATACCTTGCTCTTCATGGACAAGATAAACCAGTGAATGTAAGAATACAGCCAGAGCCATTGAATCCAATGGACCCAAGTGCAATTGCAATTGATGTAGACTATGGAACTGGATGGACACATATTGGTTTTATTGCTTCTCAACTATGCGAGCATTTGCACCCACTAATTGCCACAGGAGATATCTTAGAGGTCTATGTTCAGCATATCAAGTATAGGGTTGACTTTTTTAAAATAGGATTTTATCAAAAAATTTTCATAAGGCCACATAAAAAAAAATAATTGTTTAGCGTCCCCGCCCGACCTGATAAAAGTCCCCGACCTCCAATTTTTTTTTATTTTTTTTTTTTAAATTTGTCCGAGTTTAGTGGAAAAACTCTATAAAAAAGACCGTTTTACTTGAAAAAATGGTGATTTTATTCTTCTGGGAGCTATGTAATACGTTTACACAAAGTTTCCTTCCCAGAATATGCCTGTTCGCAGCTAAAGTGTTCGCGCGTGACCGCCAAACGGTAATTTTCTGTTTTATTAAAAACATGAACGGGAAGTTAAAAAACATGAACGGATTTTGAAAGAATTAAAGTGAGTTTTGACTGTGGTAATGATTTCCTGCATTTAGCAGAATTTTGTGTGGCATTTTACGAAAAAAAAAAAAAAAAATCCGTCCGCCCGACCTAGAAAAATTAAAATGGGTGGACGCTAAACAAGTAATTTTTTTTATGTGGCCTAAAGCGACATGGTGAGTGGGAGACTCGTGTGGTAAGGAAGAGTACGAGTGTAGGTTGACAGATGTTTGTGATATAATTGTAACTGACTAGGTTTAGCAAGTTATAGAAATGATGTTATTTCAATTGAATGGCTAACTTTTTAGATTTTCATAGACAGAAACTAGGTTAATTTAATCATAAGTGCATGGGTGTGCACAATTAAAATAAAACAATGTCTGTCATGCACACTCATGCAATTAAGACAAGTACATAATTGTAACATGAGCTGTACTAAATGAAGAAATAAATAGTTTGTACATTCACTTGATCAACTTTGTGAGTAATTTTTCATTAAAATTATTACTATCTATATACATATTGATCAAAGGTGGTGGTACATTACATGAGAATACAAAAAAAACCCTGCATATAATTGCACCTATCAATGTCAAGCCCCAGAAGGGGGTGGGCATATGTGGGGTATTTGATCATCAATTGCATCCCCACTCTGGGGATTTTGATTAGCTTGGGCCTGAGTTAGGGCAATTTGAACCAAAATGACTTTTATTAATATAGTATTTATTGCAATTTATTGCAAAATGGTGGGGTGTTTGACCAATATTTATTACCTAACAGTGGGGCATTTGATTGAAAATTTGCTCAAAAAATCAAATGCCCCACATATGCCCGACCCCGCCCCCTCTCTGGGGCTTAACATTGAAAGAACCACCATTTCTCAAACTTTATTTGAATTAGTTGTGTAACATCATTACAAAATACTGTTAAAAAAGGCCAATTGGGCCTTCACTGCTATAAAGGGCATTATATCCAATGGCATCAGACCAACATCTCCATGGCATTGTTCTCCAATGCATCGAGCAGCGTGATAAATCAGATTGTCTTTTTGACCAGCATCACTATTGTCGACACTTACTGCCAAAATGGCGCTTACTGCCAAAATGCGTGATTGCTCACGTTTCATGGTTTCATGGCGTGGATTACACTTACTGCCAAAATGGCGGCCAATTCGTGCTCATAAAAAATCGCGGACACAATTTTGGCTGAGTGAGACATCTGGTATGATCTATAATTAACAATTATTCGCCGAAGGCGAGGTGATTATCGGTGAATAAAAACCGAGACGAAGTCGAGGTTTTTATTCACGATAATCACCGAGCCTGAGGTGAATAATTGTTTTAGTATAATTTCATAGGTGATTATTTGGAAAAAATAAGAAAATACACATTTCTTCGTCATTTAATTGACAAAAGACACAAAAAGGCTTCGGCCGCCATTTTGAAAATCGCTTAGGTGATTATCGCGTAATAATCACCTCAACGGCAACCAATCAGCGTGGAGAATTTTCAATAATCACCTATGTAATTATACTAATCTATGATATTGCCATCGTGCGCGTACCGGAAATTTGTAAGCGTGCTCATAGCCAATCAACGACAGCTTATAGATGAAATGACGTAATGATACTAATTTCAAAATGGCGGTTTACTAAAGTGTGAAACAAAAGGCAATTTGTGAATATACGAAATCAAATGCAGTTTAAAACAACGTCATTTTACTAGTCTGAATATGGCAAATATCGCTAGTGCATTTTTGGCAAGCATTTGAAAGGTTTCATCATTTAATACGCAGTGGAAACGAAATGATTTTCAATTTTGGACAAGAAAATTATTGACTAATGGCATTGAGAATACTATTATGAAATTATGAAAGTAATGATTCTTCCACATGTTGCCGTTGTTGGTGTATATCGAGTTGTAAGTGTTGATGTTGATGTTTATGTACTTCTCAATTTAACATTTTCATTGGTGACTTAGTTAATATAAATTAGTTGAATGAAACCAATACTGCTATTTGCAGATGAGCTCGCCGCGCGCCGAATTTTCGTGAGCTCGCCGCGCGCCGAATTTTCGAACGTTTTTTCATGTGTCAACAAACAGTTGATTGGCTTCCAACGCCACGTTTTTCATGTGTCAACAAACAGTTGATTGGCTTCCAACGCCACGTTGACGCGGCGCCAACGCTACGTTGAGGGAGGCCATAGATATAGTTGAGGCGGCTTCATGTGTCAACAAACAGTTGATTGGCTTCCAACGCCACGTTGACGCGGCGCCAACGCTACGTTGAGGGAGGCCATAGATATAGTTGAGGCGGCGCCAACACTACGTTGCCTAACGCCTATACTGGATGATTGTCGAAAATCGATGAACAAAACTTTCCACTCAAACATGCTGAAATAAAATTGCAGTAATCAATTCTTAAATGTTACCAGTATTTTTATTTATAAGTTGCATGGGCACTGTATTTTGAAATTTTGTAGACCTTATTCATAAATCGTGACGAGGCCTTGGGGAAAAAACGCGGTGAATCAAGCGGTGAATCAAGCGGAAAACTACTTGACAAGCCAAATTCAGACGCTATTATATCGACTTTAACGGCTTGTTTCTTGTTGTTTTTTTGCGATTTATAATGATTTTTGTGTGTATTTTAAGACTTTGTGCCCACAACGAAAGCGGTAAACGAGTATATTATAAAAGCGACCGGTTTTCCCCCCGTTTTTGTGAGGAAAAAATGACAACGTAGTGACAGTGTTTATCCAGAAGCGAAAAACAGTATTTTACTGAGATTTTAACGTCAATATAAAGGTTATTTCGTGAAAAATCAAGACAACTATAATAATTTTTCGAATTTGACATTAATATGAAAGAAAACAACAGGTCAAAAATCACAAGAGAACGTCAAATGTTATTGATTCGTACGGAAAAATATGAACGATGGCTGTGGCTTGATAACATTCTGCAAGCAGCTTACAAGTTTAAAAAACGAAGGCTACATTACCTGAGTGAGTTGTAATCTTATTTCTTCAACAATAGTTTCATATTTCTTACGATTTTGGTGTTGTATAGACGTTTTGTAGCCTTGTAGTTGGTTGCTTGTTTTGGCCATAAAAACTTGGCAATAATACAATGTCAAAGGTTTCCTTTTTCGATTGACTCCAGCATCATTTGCTTTAAATATCATGTTATATTTTCTCAGAAGTAATTTTTCAACTTTCAAGCTCAGTTTTATAGATATTATTTTCGAAAAAGCCGTAATATTCACGGGGAAAAAGCTGCCATAGCCGACAGCAAAAAAACATTTTGTCAATTTTCCCGCGTTTTTCTCCGTATCATAGGATACGAGGCCTCGTCACGATTCCAAAGTTCTCCCACGTTTGCTAACTTTCATGCAGATACTAGTAATTGTAGACGTTTATTCTCACCGGCGCTGCGTTTGTGCCTGACCTCAACCTATAGTTTGCACTGCCTCAACGTAGCGTTGGCGCCGCGTCAACGTGGCGTTGGAAGCCAATCAACTGTTTGTTGACACATGAAAAAACGTTCGAAAATTCGGCGCGCGGCGAGCTCATCTGCAAATAGCAGTAGAAGGTTATATAATTTCGTAAGGTTACATAATTTCTTTATCAATGATTATAACTATAGACAATTGGTGTCTGCTTTCATTACAGACTTTGATAGATCATTTTTATACAAATTTAGCAGAGTCAGAAGCTAAGTCACACATATTGGAAACAGGGCCGCCCAGAGGGGGGGGGGGAAGGGGGCAAATTGCCCCGGGCCCCAAGTTGCTGGGGGCCCCTGAAAAATTTTTGTTGGGCCCCAGCCTTTTTTGTGTGTTAAATATTTCCGCGCAAAGAACAAGATATCTGTTTTCTTGGGCTAAGTACCGAATTTTGGCATAAAAAAATGAGATAAAGTTCCTTGAAAGTAATTGCAACGTACTAGTCCGGAAAAATTTTGTACTCCGGAAAAATGTTTTTACCCCTAAAATGGTACACTGACCGAAAAATTTTTGGGGACCGGGGGAGGGGGGGGGGAGGTTGTTGTCCGGAAAAAAAATTTTCCGGGAAAATTTTTTTAGATAAAACCCCTAAAAAAAAATTTGCCCCGGGCCCCCGCCAACCTCTGGGCGGCCCTGATTGGAAACATTTCTCTTAAAGCACTTTATGGTAGTATGTGCATTGAATAATTGCTTTCATTAAAGCAAAGCCAAAGTAATAACGGCTGCATCATAAAGAGCAGAGATTCAGTTTTAGATTGGAATATCAATACTTAATATAGTAACAGTTGTAACCAGTCATAATTATTAACTATATATCCTGGACGGGGTGCTCCCTTCTTCATCGACCCTGATTTCTGCAACTGAATGTCATTGCCAAGAACACCAGTTAAGCAATTTATATCCCCTTCACCTATCCCATACTATATTGTCTTATAATCAACAACAACCATATGTCATAATGGGATCTTATTTAATATAGCACACAATGTACAAAACTAACATAATATTCTGTTTAGTGGATTTTCTTCCACGACAAAATATTATTGCATGGATCTGTATTGCTGAATTATATCATTCTATTCAAGAACTATATGCATCGATTATACTTCTAATTTCCATACTTGTCATCATTTATTGCTGATGAATGACTTTCAATATATGACCTATTTGATATATTTACTAGGCATAAACAGTTGATTTGTGTGCCATCAACCCTGACTATGACATTTTCTAAAAGGAAATAGATTATACTTAAAAACAATTATAAACAGCAGAAATGTTGATGTTATGTATGTATCAATTATGGTATAAGAAGGCTTCCAAAACTCTGCAAAATGTAAAGTTAAAACTATTAGACATAAACTTCTCCAGCAATTCCTGGATAGTTATTAAGTACTTGTTTTTCAGTAGTTGATCAATATAAAGCGCCCGAGCTGGCTCGCATCCCCGAGATGAATTTCACCACGCGCATTTACATGAAACTTACATCAAGGGCTGGCTCTTCGTGTTCTTATTTTTTTTGGCGTAGTATGTTGCGTTTATATGGAAAACTACCCAGCTCGTTTACCCGAGGTCTCGGGTCACACGAAGCGGGACCTCGGTTAGGCGGACCAGCTCGGTTCTCATATAAACGCAACATGAAATTTAGTAGGAAATATTAACAAAGACGGGATCCTGCCTAAAGCGAGCTAGCTCGGGTACCCGAGCTGGCTCGCCTCATATAAACAGCCCCTTAGTCTCCAATACTTCAGCGAGTCATGCTTTGGAAATGACAATATTTTTTTATTACCCAACCCTTGAGTTGTTTTGTTTTTCATTTACCCAACCTTTTACTTACTCAAAATTTAGTTTACCCAACCCTTTTCTCTTCGGTGCCACCCCCCACCATAAATAATGACCGGTCCCTAATGTAGTAATAATACAGTAAGTTTATGTGTTTGTAATTTTTGTCACTGAAAAGCCCCTTCAGGGGAGTGTCAATAATGTCAACGAATCAATTAATCAACAATGAACAACAATGTATATTGGCACCACCTGTTATCCTGACAACTTCTATGCATCTACCATGTTCTCGCATGCCTGCTAAAGTTTATTATGAACTATCAGGAAGATTTGGAACCCGAAATGTTTTAACAAGAACACAGAGATGGATTTATGGGGGGTGCACCCCCCTAGCCCTGGCCAGAGGGGGTGCAGGAGGGGGGGTCCTATTTTTCATGATAAACAAAAATTATTAGAAACAAAATGAGATACAGAGATTTGAGTAATAATATGATGATAGGCAAACTGTGAACAACAATTACAATTCAAATACTGTAGTCAAGCAAGACTTTGCAATAGTGAAGCAAGTTGATGGGTGGGTGGCACACATGACCGACACAACTCGGCACCAGAGCAGGCAGAGTACCCCCCCCCCTATCAGATCATGCTGGATCCATCCCTGCAAGAACATTATAAAATTAAGATGATTCAACAAGAACATCATAAAATTGAATATCATCTTTGTGACGTTATAGCCGGAATTAGTTTCTGCAAGTTGAATATATATCAGCCATTTTATTTTTCTTTCATCTGACATACTATAAATCTAACTTTATTTAACTGGTCAACTGTTAAACATCAGTCCCTTAATTTTTTTTACAAGCTACTGAGTGTTGATTGAAGCCTTGGCAAAAGTGCAATCACCATGAGCAGATACATGTACGCTTAGCGTACCTATTTTTAATCTGAGGAAGCATGAATGAATAATTAGATGAACTTTTTCAACCAAGATTGCATGATAAGTCCGCATGTCGACTGCTTGTATTCAAAATACTGGAAATAGTATTGTCTTCAAACAGCTCTAGCAAAAATTGTTAAGATTATGAATGGCGTGGACCTCAGTATAACTTCGTCTTGTAACATGGAAAAATCGACAAGAATTCCTGATCTTATACCTTTGCCGTTTCCTTTTTACTGCTCTTTCAACAAAATTCGTGAATGTCATCTAAATAGTAATTCATTAGTTTCTACTCTATTCTGCCGTGATTAAAATTTTATTTAATTATCCGTCATTAGTGGGAAAACTGATGGAAACGTGCAACAATGAAAACGAATCCGACCAAGAGTGTTTACAACAACCCAATAATCTCAGCAGTTCTAACACCAACACGGACGAAGTGAAAATCTACAAAACACGATGGTATATCTTATTCATGTACTGTCTAATAGCCATCTTACAAAATATCATGTGGAATACTTGGGGACCAATTCAAGCAACAGCCAGGGCAGTATATGACTGGGATGATTACGTCATTGATTTAATGGCTGCCTGGGGATGTATTACATTTTGTATTGCAATGTTACCATTTGCTTGGATCATGGATGTTAAAGGTACAATATATTAACTTACTGATTTAAGTAGGATATACATTAGTTTCCATTATTATTATTATTATTTATTATTAAAAATTTATTTAGGCACGGTATTACTCATCAGGATTTACATTAACTAAACTACATTACAAAAACTACAATGATTACAAAGTTATCTCTACACCTGCTTTCCATGAGGGCCGTGTATTAAAAATAGCCATTAAAATTTTTAAAAGACTTCTACAGCCCGCTCGAAAATTGTCAAGGGACTGTGCTTGCCGTAACCCGATTGGAAGACTGTTCCACAGCACAGCACCACTATAACTAAAGCTGTTTTTCAAATAGTTTGTGCGAGGCATAGGAACAGCTAATTTATTCTCAGTGTCACGCAATTGGATTGAAGTTACATGCACTTTCACGATCAGTAAACATGGAGTGCATATAGTCGGGAGCTAAACCATTAAGAGATTTATAGACCATTACAGCCTTTTGAAATTTACGCTGAAAGGAAAGTGTTTTCCAATTGAGCTTTTCAAAAAGTAAATCGGCATTAGTGTCATAACTAGAGAGTGTTAATACCCTGGCTGCACGATTTTGTAGTTTTTGGAGCTTTTCAGTCAGCATAAGTTTTATTACAGTTATCCCCAACAGAACAACAATAGCTGAAATGAGGCTGAACTAGAGCGTTGTAAACAAGCTACAACGTTGTAGCAGGAACAAAAGATCGAACTCGTTTCAAAGCACCAATACGGCAATACCTGAAGCAATTTTCTTTATTAAATCATTAATATACTGGCATTCCAAGACAGGTTTTCATCAAGCTTCATCCCAAGCGCCGCTGTTTGAGAAACTTGGCGAACAGGATGCCCATTGATTGCTAAGGAAGGGGCCGAGTGTAACGTGCTTAATTTTTGTCTTGACCCAATTAGCATGAACTCTGTTTTAGATTGATTAAGAGTTAACTTATTTGCTATGAGCCATTTATTGACATTATCAAGATCTTGATTAAGTTTATAGTCTATGTCATCAACATTATTGCTAGCAAATGTGAAATTAGTGTCATCGGCGTACATACGTCGTTGGGAATCAGGGAATGTGTCAGACAATTTGGTAAATCATTCATGTGGATAAGAAAAAGCAAAGGTCCTAAGATATGTAGTTCCTTGCGGGATACTGCAAGGCAATAAGCGATAACTGGAAAGATGACCATGCATTGACATAACATTTTTGATTGCGGTCATGTAAATAGGACCTAAACCAGTTGCCTGTAGAACCTCCAAAACCATATACGCTTAACTTTGATAGCAATATTGCATGGTCAACAGTATCAAACGCCTTCTTGAAGTCTAAGAAAACGACGGCATTAACGTTGCCGCGGTCAATATTGTATAAGACCAGTTATTAGTAGCCTCAAGAAGTGCGGTGACAGTGGAATGAAGAGTTCGAAACCCTGACTGGCAATTAGATAAGAGGTTATTATCCATAAGATAGGCATAAACTTGATCATAAATAATTCTCTCAAAAACTTTCGCCACAATTATTAATGATAGTTATTTAAATCCCTACGCTCTCCCTTTTTAAATAATGGAATGACTTTTGAGCATTTCCATTCGTTGGGGAATGTACCAGAGTTAATAGAACAGTTAAAAATTGCACATAATTGAATCGGCTATTAGGTCGGAACAATCGCAAAGTAATCTGGCTGATATCTTATCCAAACCCGTGGCTTTAGATTTGCAAAGTTTGGACAACCAACCACCAACGGACTAGTTGTATTTAGTCGAAATTATCATTAATTTGACTTGGCAGGTGATCAAGGTGTGTACCAAGTGTAGGTCAATTAAATCTTGGTAGTATTGCTCAATAAGGTATTAGAAGGCCTTCTAGTTCGGATACTGCAACCGAACGATATATCCAACGCGCATGTTCAATACGTCTCCGACGTTTCAACGGCCTCATGTTAGAACTGAACAAGAATACGTTAATGTGAGATAGAATTTGGGGAAAAATTCTTGCCGTTCTTCTTCTGTTCTTTCTGTGAAAAGTTGACACTTTCGCGAGGTCTCTGATAGGCTTGGATGAAAAGAACACTGCTCTAATCATGACTTCAGCTTGGTGTTGGTGCTGTACTTCTGGATCCAAGTATTCTAATATATTTGGTTAGTGCTTTGAACACGTGGATGTGGTTCCTGATGTCATTGTCTCGTGTTTTGATCCCAATCATGATTCACACTGTTTTGAACGTTCTGTCCCACCAGGTTCACGTCAGGCTACGTCGAGTAGATTCCTCTTGCAAGTTGCAGGGACAGCAAAGTCGACGTTTCCCAAACCTTTGTAGATAATGATCGACCGTACATGTATGCGTCAATGCTATTGTTCGCCGTTCTTTATTTCATCTGCAGGTAATATTGATTTAACGTTTTTAATGAAAAGAACAATCACTGTGTATAATATCAAATCCTTTCTCAAAGCCAATATTATGTTCATGCTGCTTCTGCGAATTCACACACTAGTGTGATATGTAACACAATGGAAATATTTTTCTATTTGATCATCTTCTACTTTTCCGGAACACCGGCTGCCTTCGTGTTCCTTTCGAATGTGTCAAATAATGTAGATCTATATTCACTTTGGTATAGACAGACAGACCTTTTTTAGATTCTGCTTTAGTTTATTGAAGAGGTGAAATATCGCCACAGTTGCTGCAATCTCTGTTGTGCTTGTTATCGGAATATTCAAGATAATTCCTTCCCATATCTTTCGTCGTGATTTGACGTTAATAAGCAGATCAAAGTCTGCCTTGTGGATTTCAGATTCTTTTGTTGCCGGTAGTATGTTAATAACTGCTTCAATGAAATGCTCTCTCATTCGAGTCTGGCTCTTGTTTTGCCTTTGTTAGCTACTCGAAGTCTACTTGTGAGTTGTTCGAAGTTGCTTACCACAATGTGATGTCCGGCATTATCATGGTCTCGGTAAGTATTCTCGACCACTTTCATAATTTCAGATGTGACAAAAACCACATCCTGCAAGGGACCGGTCATAAAGTAACTGCTAGGGTGGGCTGGAGTGATTTGGGATGGGCCATGGAAAATCTTTGGGCAGTTTCGATGGGCCGCCAATTTTTTGTATGTCCACGGTTGGGCCACCAAACAAGAACCCATGCATGTCTACTTCAAAAAATAAAGATATTCATTTGATAATAAAAGTAAACAAAACTATCCAAATTATCAAATGCAAATGATGCTATTGAAGCCAGTACTTTGTTTATACAACAACAAGAAGTGGTCGAATCACAGCAAATACAACCAACTGGAAAGCAGCTCAGTATCAATGTGTTGGTCAAGATTGGTGGAATTTTGTAGTATCAATGTGTTGGTCAAGATTGGTGGAATTATGTACAGTATGTCAATACAGTGCCGTGTATATTTACAATGTTCATACCTGCAAGTTTTTTTATTATAAAAGTGTATTTTCCCAATTTAGATTGGGTGGGTCATGAAAATTTTTTTGTAAGATTAGATGGGCTTTGAAATTTTTATCTACATCCTAAGATGGGTCGACGTCGCCGAACTTATTGGCAAAATTTGTGATTATTTACCTCCAGCCCACTCTAGCAGTTACTTTATGACCAGTCCCTAACTGTTTATTATTAAACAGTATGATTTCAATCCTCGCGAGTTCTAATATAGAATAGAACATCTGGCTCCATTCTTCACATTATTTATATCAAAACTCTTATATTCGACGTTTTGGGGGAAAGCCGTGGTAGAAACGTCGAAGTTCTCCTTGCATTTCCCTGGCAGTTATATCAATCTACCGCTTTCTTATTATTAGCACTACCTACACTGACCAGAGGAGGAATGAGGGTCTTCCCGAAATGCAACGCGCGAATCAGTGCGGCTCATTATTATTCAAGCTATTTATTCTCAACACGCCGTTCGATTAAAAACTGTTGAAATATATTGCGATTTTTGCTGTGAAGATCTCGTTTTCTCAAAGGTATGTTTTGATAACCTTTTTGTTTAGTAATTTAATAAAAGAAGTTTTGAATAATTTTGTATATATATCGCATTTTACTTATGTTAAATTCCCATTGTATTTATGCATGTTTTGGGTGTTGAAAAAGTGGCATTGAAATATTCTGGAGTAAATTGTACTTTTTTACAAGGGAACTAAAATAAAATTACATCAGTGAATTCAGGAATGTTTACTCTTTATATTGATACTTTAAAACATAAATTTACTCCATAAAACTGAAGAGTTATCGCGGTTTGAAAATGAGCTATTTTTGCTAATTATCGAATATAGCAAAAATAGCTCATT